GGGAAAACATGTATTTTTGCAATTCCCGTGCTTGGCGTGCGTCCAAGACGGCCAGACAAGCCCCCAAGATCGCCCCAACCCGCTTCTGGAAACCCCTTATGACGGCCCCAAGACGGCCCCAGGACGGCTCCTCAGGCGCTTGTGGCGGCCCAAGAGGCGGCCAAGACAGTGCCAAGAGCGGTCAAAGACGACCCACGAAGGCCCCTGAGGCGCCCGAGACGGCCCCAGAGGGCTCCAAGACGGCCCCAGAGACGCCCAAGACGACCCCAGAGGGTCCCAAGACGGCTCAAGAGGCACCCAAGAAAGCCCAAGAGGGCCCCAGGAGGCTCCCGGACGGTTCCCAAGAGGCCGGACGGTTCCCAAGAGGCCCGAAGATGACGGTCGAAGAGCCACCCAGGACAGCCCCATGAGCAGCCAAAGACGGTTCCGAGGCGGTTTCGAGACGGCCCCAGCTGCCCCCTCGAAGCCGAAGGGCTGACCCAAGAGGCCCCACGACAGCCCAAGAGGAGCCCAAGAGGGCTCCAAGAGCGGCTCAAGACGGCCCAAGACGGCCCCAAGGCAGCCCAAGAGGCGCCCAAGTGGCCCCAAGACGTCTTCAGAGGCTTCCCAGCCGCCCCATGATGCCTCTAAGAGGATTCTGAAGAGGGCCCGTAGGATGAGAAGTCGCCACAATTCCTTAGGGAAGCTGTGAATTTGGCATTTCCGCTTGAATCGTATCCATGGAGTCCAAGACGCCCTGCAGTCCTCTGAGATTGCCCCAAGAAGCTCCAAAATTGGCCCTTGGCGGCGCCAAGACGGCCTCAGACGGACGCAGGACGGCCCAAGGGGCGCCCAAGACAGCTCCAGAGGCACTCGAGACAGCTCCAAGAACAGCCCAAGATGGCCCAAGACAGGCCCAGGACGGGTCAAGAGGCTGCCAAGAGGCGCCCAAGACGGCCCCAAGAGGCCACAAGACGGCCCAAGAAGCACCCAAGACGGCCCAAGAGGGCCCCAAGAGCCCCCACGCCGAAATAGCCCCCAAGAGGCCCCCAAACGGCGCCCAGGAGGCCCTAAGAGCCTTCACAGTTGCCTCCAAGAGAGGGGTGCCTGACGAGAGGCGAGAGGCATCTTTCAGACCCAACGAGCCGTGTTGGACGCTCGCCAGGCCGGCTGCAAGTGGCGAAACTAGAGCCAGCAAAGAGCGGACAGCACAAGCAATCGTCAAGAAATCCAGCATGCAGTACGCAGCCATCCAGCAACAAACACACACTATGCACGCTAGAACACGTGGACGAAGTCCACGGGTCAGCCCTAGTCTCTACTACAATGCAGGGGCCCGCGCGTGCGGGAAAGGCGGGCCACGGGGTAAGCGTAGTCGGCGCCCTGGCGGCCCCTGCGAGCCCCGGAGAGCCCCCAGACGGCTCCAAGACGGCTCCGAGACGCTCAAGATGCCGCCCTGACGGTCCACAGACTGCTCCGAGCCACTCAAGAGGCCGCCTCGACGGCCCCAGAAGCCCCCAAGGCAGGCCAGGTGGCTCCTAAGACGGCCATGGAGGACCTCCCAGGAGAGCCCCAAGACGCCAAAATCGTTTCATTCCTTCCGGAAAACGCATATGTCGGGCATTCTCGTGCTTTTCGTTTCCGACGTGTCCACGACGGCCATAGAGGCCCCCAAGATCGCCCTAAGATGCTCCCATGAGGGCCCCAAGACGGCCCACGACGACCCCAGGACGGCTCCTGAGGCGCTCCTGGCGGCCCACGGGGCACCCAAGACAGCCTCAAGAGCAGCCCAGGATGGCCTTAGACGACCCCCAGACGGTGCCCAGACTGCTCCAGAGACGCCGAAGGTTGCCCCAGACAACCCCCAGACGACCCCGACAACGCCTCAGACGGCCTCCAGATGGCCCAAGAGGCTTCCAAAACTCTCCAAGTGGCCTCCACGACGAGCCCCAAGAGAGGCCGAACACCGAAACATCCTCCCATTCCCTTCGGGAAAACGTGCATTTCGGCAGTTCCTGGGCTTGCCCTCGTCATAGCGTCCAAGACGGCCATACAGGGTCCCAAGATGACCCTAGGACGGCTCCCGAGGCGCCCCTGGCGGCCCACGGGGCACCCAAGACAGCGTCAAGAGCGGCTCAGGACGGCCCAAGACTACTGCCAGACGGTGCCCAGACTGCTCCAGAGACGCCCAAGGCGGACCCAGGCAATCCGAGAACGCCTCAGATGGCTTCCAGACGGCCCAAGAGGCTTCCAAAACTTTCCAAGTGGGCTCCACGACGAGCCCCAAGAGAACGCGAACACTGGAAAACCGTTCCACTCGGGAAAACATGCATTTCGGCAGTTCCTGGGCTTGCCCTCTTCATAGCGTCCAAGACGGCCATACAGAGGCCCAAGATGGCCTTAGGACGGCTCCTGAGGCGCCCCTGGCGGCCCACGGGGTACCCAAGACAGCCTCAAGAGCGGCCCAGGACGGCCTTAGACGACTCCCAGACAGTGCCCAGACTGCTCCACAGACGCCCAAGACGGCCCCAGACAACCCTCAGACGGTCCCGGACCGCCTCCACACGGCCCAAGAGGCACCCGAGACAGCCCAAGATGGCCCCAGGAGGCTTCCAGGAGGCCGAAATGAAGCGCTGAGAGGCTCCAAAACGACCCCCAGAGGTCCCAAGAAGCACCGAAGACAGCACCAACAGCAGCTAAAGACTGCCTAAGACGGCCACAGACGGTCTCAAAACGGCTCCCAGCGCACCATGGGCCTCTGATGCTTGTTTGGCGCTACCTGCCAGATTTGGCTCCAGAATCCCTCGGCCTTTTTGTCGGTCTGGAGGGCCTCTTGGGGCCATGCCGTGTTTCGCTCTTCTGGTGGCCCAGGATCGCCTCGGCCGACCCCAGGGTCGGCGGCGCGGTGGCCCAGAATCGGTCCCGCCGATTCTGGGCGGGCGGCCATTATGGCGTCATCTTGGAGGCGTGTTTATCATCTTGGGGCTCCTCAGAGGGCCCCCAGACGGCCCCAGAACGCCCCGAGAAGATCGGACCCAACGCACTGACAAAGCCCGACCCGATCCCAAGAAAGCCCTTGAGCGCCCCAGGTGCGGCGTCCAGACGCTCCTCCGTCCCCTCGCTCAGCGATGTGTGGCAGCACCCTGATCGCCTTTCATCCTGATCGCCTTGCGGCAGCACCCCTTCACCCCGCAAATGGACGTAGTCCACGGGTCAACCCTAGTCTCTACTACATTGCAGGGCCCAGTGCGTGCCAGAAGGGCGCAGGCCCCAATGCACCGAAACCGCCCCGGGCTGGCCCCGGGCCGCCCAGGGACGCCCAGGCAGGCTCCAGGACATGTCGAGAGGGCCCTCAGAAGCCCCCAAGACGGCCCCGGAGAGCCCCGGCACGCTTAAAGATGGGCCCAAGACGCCCGAGATTCGCCCCAGACGGCCCAAGAGGCGTCCAAGACGCCCGAAGAGGCCTCCCAAGAGGCCTCCCAAGAGGGCCCCGAGCGACAGAAATCGTCGATTTCTATTGTGTTTTTCGATGTTTTCGGCCTCCTCGCCTCTTCGGCTTCCCGACGCTCCAAGACGGCCCAAGAAGTCCCCCCGACCGCTCCAAGACGGCCGAAGAGGACCCCAAGAGAGCCCCAAGACGGGCCAGGAGGGCCCCAAGACGGTCCCAAGACGCCCCAGGACGGCCCCAGGACGGCCCAGGAGGCGCCCCAGACGGCCCAAGAGGCACCCAAGACGGCCCCAGGAGCGGCCCAAGACGGCCCAAGACAGCCCAAGAGGCGCCGAGGCGGGCCTCAGACGGCCCCAAGACGGCCCAAGAGGCACCCAAGACGGCCCGAGAGGGCCCTAAGAGCCCCCCCGGGAGGCCCAAAAGAAAGCCGAAGAGGCTCCGAAACGGCCCCCACGAAGCCTTCATTGGCTTCAGAATTCCCTCCAGGAGCGGGGGAGCGGACGAGAGGCGACAGGCATATCGCAGGCAAAAACGCCCGCGCTTGCCCAGAGACCCCTCGCCACGTCGAGCTGATGTCGTGGACGGAGTCCACAGGTCTGCCCTAGTCTCTACTACATTGCAGGGCCCAGTGCGTGCCAGAACGGCGCAGGCCCCAATGCACCGAAACCGCCCCGGGCTGGCCCCGGGCCGCCCCAGGCCGCCCATGCAGGCTCCAGGACATGTCGAGAGGGCCCCCCGAAGCCCCCAAGACGGCCCCGGAGAGCCCCGGCACGCTTAAAGATGGGCCCAAGACGCCCGAGATTCGCCCCAGACGGCCCAAGAGGCGTCCAAGACGCCCGAAGAGGCCTCCCAAGAGGCCTCCCAAGAGGGCCCCGAGCGACAGAAATCGTCGATTTCTGTTGTGTTTTTCGATGTTTTCGGCCTCCTCGCCTCTTCGGCTTCCCGACGCTCCAAGACGGCCCAAGAAGTCCCCCCGACTGCTCCAAGACGGCCGAAGAGGACCCCAAGAGAGCCCCAAGACGGGCCAGGAGGGCCCCAAGACGGTCCCAAGACGCACCAGCACGGCCCCAGGACGGCCCAGGAGGCGCCCAAGACGGCCCAAGAGGCACCCAAGACGGCCCCAGGAGCGGCCCAAGACGGCCCAAGACAGCCCAAGAGGCGCCGAGGCGGGCCTCAGACGGCCCCAAGACGGCCCAAGAGGCACCCAAGACGGCCCGAGAGGGCCCTAAGAGCCCCCCCGGGAGGCCAAAAACAAGGCCGAAGAGGCTCCGAAACGGCCCCCACGAAGCCTTCAGTGGCTTCAGAATTCCCTCCAGGAGCGGGGGAGCGGACGAGAGGCGACAGGCATATCGCAGGCAAAAACGCCCCAAGAGATCTCCAAACGGCCCCCACGAAGCCCTAAATGGTTTCAGAATTGCTTCCAGGAGGGGGGGAGCGGACGAGAGGCGACCGGCATATCGAAGGCATCATGATTGCCTTTCGGCCCTGCAGCCGCACCCCCCCGCGCTTGCCCAGAGACCCCTCGCCACGTCGAGCTGATGTCGTGGACGGAGTCCACAGGTCTGCCCTAGTCAGTTACAATGCTGGGATCAGCGCGTGCGAGAAGGGCGAGCAGTGGCAGCGGGCCCTGGCGCTGCTGAGCGAGATGCGGGAGGCGAAGCTGGAGCCCAACGTCATCTGTATTACAATTCTGGGCGTAGCGCGTGCGACCCTCACGAGCCCACCAAGACGGCACACGAGGGCCCCGAGGCGGCCCAGAGCAGGCCCTGGAGAGCCTCACAGAGCTCCCAGCTGCCCCCAGAAACGCCCCAAGAGCTGTCAAGCATTAAGTCGGGCCTGTCCCTCTGAAGGAGGAATGCTAAAGATAGTCAAGAAATAGCCTGGGGACGATTTTCCGTATTTTTGAATCTGTTTTAACATTTTGTTTGGGTATTTTCCAGGTTTCCTCCAACATACGCCTGTAGGGGGACACGCCCGACGGCCCCTAGACCCCCACCCTGGCCCCAAGCTTTCCCAAGAGGTGCCCAATATGGCCCAAGAGCCGAGACGGCCCGACGACAGCCCGAGAGACGCCCACGACGGCCCCAAACGGCCCAAGATTGCCCCTGAGGTGCCCACGACGTCCCCAAGCCACCCTCAAGACCCCATACGAGGCCCGAGGATACCTCCGAGCGGTCCCCACGCGAGCCCAAGAGGCTTCCAAACTGTTCTCAGAGAAGTGAGGCGGACGACGGTTTTCATCGCTCTGGGGCCCTGCATGCTTCTGTTCGGGGGGCGCTCTCGTAGGACTCGCGAGTCTCCAACGAATATCGAGAGGATGATGTTGCCAAGACAAGACGAGGCTAGCTTGCCAGAGTCCACGGGCGAGCCCTAGAAAACTCAGAACGGCCCACGACCTTGCTGAGACCTCCCCACTGCGCGGGAAGTCTGGCTGACTGAGCCTTCCCCGTCAGCGGGTGCCGCGGCCGACGTCGACGACAGCAGCCTCTCCAAGCTGTGGACCGCCTTCGACCCGCAGGCCGCTGGGCGTTCGTTGGTCGCCCCGCTTCCGCGCCGCGCAGAGGGGGGCCAGGAGGACGGGGAAAAGGCTGATCAAAAAGCATGATGCTCCTCAGTCGCCATCGAAGGCGTTCTGAAAAACCATCGGGGCCATGTCCGAAGAACCCTGCCTTCTATGAAGCATTCCTCCCTTCCACCTGCGCCCCTTTGTGCGCAGACCAACCTGCCCATGATCGCCAGACGTCCCGAAGTCGCGAACGAGCGAGAGAAAGGGACGCGCACGTTGAACTCGCTAGTTGACGTGGACGAAGTCCACGGGCTTCGCGCTGGTCATCTATACTACAATGCAGGGGCTCGCGCGTGCGGGAAAGGCGGGCCTCGGGGAAAGCGTAGTCGGCGCCCCGGCGGCCCGTGCGATTCCCGGAGAGCCCTCAGACGGCTCTAAGAGGGCTCCGAGACGCTCAAGAGGCCCCCCCGACGGCCCACAGACGGCTCCGAGCCGCTCAAGAGGTCGCCTCGACGGCTCCAGAAGCCCCCAAGGCAGGCCAGGAGGCCTCTAAGACGGCCTGGAAGGGGTGCCCAGACTGTTCCAGAGGCGCCCAAGGCTGCCCCAGGCAACCCCCAGACGGCCCCGAGAACTTCTCAGATAGCCTCGAGACGGCCCAAGAGGGGCCTAAAACGCTCCAAGTGGGCTCCACGACGAGCCCCAAGAGAGCCCGAACATTGAAAAATCGTCCCATTCCCGTGGGAAGGCGTACATTCTGGCAATTCCTGGGCTTGCCCTCGTCATAGCGTCCAAGACGGCCATACAGAGGCCCAAGACGACCCCAGGGCGGCTCCTGAGGCGCCCCTGGCGGCCCACGGGGTACCCAAGATAGCCTCAGGAGCGGCCCAGGACGGCCCACGACGACCCCCAGACGGTGCTTAGATTGCTCCAGAGACGCCCAAGGCTGCCCCAGGCAACCCCCAGACGGGCCCCGAGAGCGCCTCAGATGGCCTCGAGACGGCCCAAGGGGGGCCTAAAACGCTCCAAGTGGGCTCCACGACGAGCCCCAAGAGAGCCCGAACATTGACAAATCGCTACATTCCCGTGGGAAAGCGTATTTTTTTGGGCAGTTCCTGGGCTTGCCCTCTTCATAGCGTCCAAGACGGCCATACAGAGGCCCAAGATGGCCCCAGGACTGGCGACCCACGGGGTACCCAAGACAGCCAGCCTCAAGAGCGGCTCAGGACGGCCCAAGACGACCGCCAGACGGTGCCCAGACTGCTCCAGAGACGCCCAAGGCTGCCCCAGGCAACCCCCAGACGGCCCCGGACCGCCTCCACACGGCCCAAGAGGCACCTGAGACAGCCCAAGAGGGCCCCAGGAGGCTTCCAGGAGGCCGAAAAGAAGCGCTGAGAGGCTCCAAAACGACCCCCAGAGGCCCCAAGACCACGGCCCAAGAAAGCACCGAAGACAGCACCAACAGCAGCCAAAGATGGCCACAGACGGTCCCAAAAAGGCTCCCAGCGCACCATGGGCCACTGATGCTTGTTTGGCGCTCCCTGCCGGATTTCGCCCCAAAATCCCTCGCCCTTTTTGTCGGTCTGGAGCCCTCTCCGCGGCCTCTTGGGGCCATGCCGTGTTTCGCGTTTCTGGTGGCCCAGAATCACCTCGGCCGACCCTGGAAGCGCGCGCGGCCGCCCAGGGCGCGTCGGGCGGGATTCTGGGTCGGCGGCGCGGTGGCCCAGAATCGGTCCCGCCGATTCTAGGCGGCGAGAAGGTCGGACCTGACGCACCGACAAAGCCCGACCCGATCCCACGGGAGCCCTTGAGCGCCCCAGGTGGGGCGTCCAGACGCTCCTCCGTCTCCTCGCTCAGCGATGTGTGGAATGCGAACATGGCGCCATTCATCCTGATCGCCTTGCGGCAGCACCCCTTCACCCCGCAAGTGGACGTAGTCCACGGGTCAGCCCTAGTCTATACTACAATACCGGGCATTTGCGCGTGCGAGAAGGGCGAGCGATGGTCATCCGCGGCGGCGCCCCAGGGGCCCCGCCCGTGGGGTGACGCCGTCCCAGCCCGGGACAGCCCCGGGACGGCCCATGAGGGCCCCGACGGAGGCCTCGAGAGTCTCCCGGGAGCTCCCCAGCGAGCCCGAGAGGGCCCTAGGACGGGCTCGGAGGGCTCCCGCGAGCTTCCACGGAGCTCCCAGAGGACCCCACGAGGGCCCCGAGGCCGCAAAACTATAGATCTTCTCGAGGGTTTTTGATGTTTCCGGTGGTGCTCCTCCCGCCCTCCCCAAGACGCCCATCACGGCACCGCGGGCGTCCGGAATCGGGCCCATGCTGCCCGGGGGGCCTCCAAGAGAGTCCCCAAGACGGCCCCAGAGGCCCCCGATCGAGCTCCTGGGGCCCCCAAGACGGCCCAAGAACCCTCCCAGACGGCCGCAAGGGACGCCAAAGAGGGTCCAGTTCGGAGCGCTTCCCCCCCCTCCGGGCCGCTCCACGACCAGCAAGGCTCCAAGACGCCCTCGAGAGGCCCCCAGAAGGCCCCGGAGGCGCTCCCAAGAGGCCCCCGGGCGCTCTCCAGAGGCTCCCAGAAGGAGTGAGAAAAATCGTACCGCACACCCCTTGGGACACTGGTGCCGCGAAAAGGGTGCACGATTGCACTGGTGAGCCTTACACACACATACATGAGGGGTCACCTTTTTGTATGCCCTCTTCCACGCGCCGCGTGTCCCAAGAGGTGTGCGGTGCGGTTTTCCCCACAAATCTATTCGTAGTGATCGTCGTCCTCGGCGTCGTCCTCGTCGTCGTCGTCGTCGTCGTCGTTGTTGTTGTTGTTGTTGTTGTTGTTGTTGTTGTTGTTGTTGTTGTTGTTGTTGTTGTTGAACTCTCATTCTTGAAGAATAATTATTGTTGATCCCCCCCACCGGTGCACATTGATTTTTTTCGATTGAAGTGCCACCCCCGGGGCTCGCACCTTGTTTTTTCTCAAGGAAAGTCTTCCTGCTCAAACTGTGCCCCTGCCCCCCGGGCTACAACAACAACGGCTCCCGCCTGAGACTTCCTCGATTTTTATTCAGGACCCCCGCTCCCGCCTAAGACTTCCGCGCAATTTACTCAGGAAAGGCGCTCCCGTCTGAGACTTCCTCGCAATGTAATCAAGACCCCCGCTCCCGCCTGAGACTTCCGTGCAATTTACGTGGGAACGGCGCTCCCGCCTGAGACTTCTTCGAATTTTACTCAGGACCCCCGCTCCTGCCTGACATTTCCGCGCAATTGACTCAGGAACGGCGCTCCCGCCTGAGACTTCCTCGCAATTTAGTGAGGACCCCCGCTCCCGCCTGAGACTTCCGTGCAATTTGCTCAGGAACGGCGCTCCCGCTTGAGACTTCCTCGCAACTTAGTCAGGGCCCCCGCTTCCGCCTGAGATTTCCTCACAATGTACTCAGGACTGCGCTCTCGCGTGCGACGTCCTCACAAATTATTCTGGAATTGCGTTTCGGCGCTCAGGAACCACGCACGCGCCAAGGACGCCTTCACAACGTGGTATCTTCCCTCTTCCTTCGTCCTTCCCCCTCCCCTTCCTCCCACTCTCCCTCGTTCTTCCCCTCCTCCTCTTGCAGGGCCCGCGCCAATTCCAATGGCGGGCAGAGAGATGTACGCCCCCGAAGGATTGTCCGCCCGTTCCGGTTTGCCCGTACGTCTAAGCCCGCCGGCCCCAGCAAAGAGAAATAATCCCCCCGAAAGGGGTGTGATCGAAGACGAAGAGGGCGGGTATCGAGGGTGTAGGGTATACGTGTTGAATGACTCGCGGGCAAGTAAGAGCGTACAGCCTTAAAATGGTTGTTGTTGTTGTTGTTGTTGTTGTTGTTGTCGTCGTTGTCGTCGTTGTCGTCCTCGTCGTCGTTCTCGTCGTCCTCGTCGTCCTCGTCGTCGTCGCCGCCGCCGCCGTCGTCATCGACCTCGTCGTCGTCGTCGTCGTCGTCGTCGTCGTCGTCGTCGTCGTCGCTGTCGTCGTCGTTGTTGTCGCCGCAAGCAGTGCTCCAGACCGCGCCCTTGCAGGGCATGCGTCTGGCGACATGTCGCCAGAGGCCAGGCTCGGAACGCCTCCATCGAAACCGATTCGCTCGAAGCGGACACCGTCGTCGTCGTCGTCGTTCTCGTCGTCGTCGTCGTCGTCGTCGTCGTCGTCGTCGTCGTCATCGTCGTCGTCGTCGCGGTGCTCTTCATCGCCGTCGTTGTCATCTACACCGCCGCTGTCCGGACCCCTCCTTGGACCGGCTGGCCTATGGTCCTTGGAGTCGGGAGCGCCCTGAAAGGCCCACAAGGGGCCAACAACATCCGCTGCTGCTGCTGCTGCTGCTGCTGCTGCTGCTAACGAGCGCACGCTCAATCCTTTGGCATTCGTGGACGGTAGTCCACGGGTCAGCCCTAGTCAGCTACGAGGGACGCCCAAGCGGGTCCAGTTCGGAGCGCTTCCCCCCCCTCCTGGCCCCTCCACGGCCAGCAAGGCTCCAAGACGCCCCCCAGAGGCTGGGCCCCGGAGGCGCTCCCAAGAGGCCCCCGGGCGCTCTCCAGAGGCTCCCAGAGGGCGAGAGGAGGGGAGGAGGAGCATGCGGAGGGAGAGCAACGGCAGCAGCAGCAGCAGCAGCAGCAGCAGCAGCAGCAGCAGCAGCAGCAGCAGCAGCAGCAGGGGCAGCAACAGCAGCCGCAGGAACAGGGGGGGCGGGAGCAAGGGGCGGGGAGGAGGAAGGCGAGGGGGAGCGCGCGTTTGGCATGGAGAAAACCGTGCTCCACACCTCTTGGGACACGCTCCGTGCGGGAGGGGTCCACGGAAAGGGGGCCTGGGACGTCTGCGGGTGGTCCAAGCAGGGCTTTTTTGTATCCCTTCCCAGGCGATGCGTGTCCCAAGGAGTGTGGGGTGTGGTTTTTGCTAATCAGGGGCGATGCTCCGGAGCAGGAAGGCCCAGGGCACGCTGGCTGTGCAAGGGTGGATGGGCCGACGTGTCCTGAGGAACCTGCGAAGGGGCCACGCTCTTGAGGTGGAGGCGGAGGGGGGAAGAGGCGGTCATGCCTGAGAGGTCCTGGAGGGGCGTTTTGGGGAGAAGTGGCGCCAGTGTGCCCAGATGCCTCCGTAGGGTGAGAGCCGATGGACGTGGTGGGGAGACTGCTGCGCGGCGTGTATGTATGCCCGGCTGGGACATGGCGCCTTCGGAGGGCCTCTGGAGCGCGTGCTGGGGATTGAACGGGTCTCGCACGGCGTACTGATGTTTTAAAGCTGCGAGGGAGCGCTGGAAATTCCGCGCGCATCAGGGCTACGGGAATACAAGAGCACACGTCGGATGCCGGCACTCTTGGCTCAGGCTGCGCGGTGCGAGTGCATGGGCGTACATGTCGCCAGACGCATGCCTTGCAAGGGCGCGGTCTGGAGCACTCTTTGCGGCGACAACGACGACGACGTCGATGACGACAGCGACGACGACAACGACGCCGACGACGACGAGGACGAGGACGAGGACGAGGACAAGGAGGACGAGGACGAGAAGGCCCCCGGGAGGCCCCTGGAGGTCCGCGTTGCTTCTGTTGTTGCTGGAGCTGCTGCTGCAGCTGTTGCTGCTGCTACTGCCGATGGTGCTGGATCTGCTCCTGCTGCTGCTGCTGCTGCTGCTAGCGCTGCTCCAGACGCCGTCAGGATCATCAAACAAATAGCGCACCCTGAAGCAATAAGCAGCAATGAGCGCACGCTCAATCCTCTGGCATTCGTGGACGGCAGTCCACGGGTCAGCCCTAGTCAGCTACAACGCTGGGATCAGCGCTTGCGAGAAATGCGAGCAGTGGCAGCCGGCGCTGGCGCTGCTCAGCGAAATGCGGAAGGCAAAGCTGGAGCCCGACGTCATCTATACTACAACGCTGGCGGCGCCGCGTACGGGAAGGACAGGGGACCCGATGGCGTAAAATCGTGCCAGCTGGCCTGGGCGCGCTCCCGGGCGGCCCCCGGGACGCCCCAGGACGCCTCCAGCGGGCAGCAGGGTAACCCCGAGACGGCTTCCAGTGGCCCCAAGAAGGCCTCAGGCGGCCCCAAGACGACTTCCAGACGCTCGGGAGGGTCCCGAGGCCGCCCAAGAGGCTTCAAGACGCCCCCAGAGACCTCGAAGAAGGCTTCCGAGAGGGCCCCGAGAAGAACACATCGCCCCAGTCCCTTCGGAGAGCGTGCATTTTTAGCATTCTCTTTAGACCTCGCACTATCTTTCTCGCTCGTGGCTGTCCCAGCCGTTCTGCGTGTCCCGTCGCACGGCCATTGGTCCGGACCAAGGAAGCCGTAGGGATAGTGGTTCTGTCGGCGACCGTGGCCTTGGGAACTCAGCGGGCCCTCTAGAGATCCCTGTGGGGGAGAAACAATTGTAGCATTTGTGTCTCTCTTTGTTTTGAAGATTTTTGTTGTTCTCTCTCTCTCTCTCTCGTTTTTGTTCTCTCTCTCTCTCTCTCTCTTCTTTTGAGAAAAAGTTTCAGCATTCTCTTTTTTTTCTCGTTCCCACCACGCGCACGCACGACGGCCGAGGGCCCTGGACTACACTGCCATACCGGGCTCGGCGCGTGCCAGAAGGACACGTCGGCTCCGCGCCCGCCGGGCCCGCGGCGGCAGCGCCTCTTGCCGTCGAGCATCTGGTGGAGAAGCCTCCTCGCGAAGAGCTGGGCCAGCGTTGCTTCACCACCGGGGGTGGGCAGAACCCCCACCCTGACACGTCGACTAGCGAATCGTCCGTTTTCGGGTCTTGAGAGGGCGCCGCGGCCGCAGTTTTCCAGGCTTGCGCCCGCCAGGTCTGGGCCCGAGGTCGCTTTCACTAAATCCCGTTTTGCTAAAGGGGGCTCTGTCCATGCCCGAAACCAACTTTGCCGGAAAGCTGGTCCGTCCATTTTCGTGAGCACGTTCGTCCCTTGAGCGTCAGCAGCAGAACTTGACCCAGGCTTGCTTTACGAACGAAACTTCTGTGCAGCTGGCCCAGAGCTCTTAAGTGAGAAGTTTCTTGATCATATGTTCGGCGGTACTTCCTCTTACCATCGCTTCTGGGGCCAGAAGACGCCCAACCCACCCCAGGAGCTCCCAAGAGAGCCCTTCGACGGCCCTAGAGGCCCTCAAGACGGTTCCAGGGACTCCCAAGACGGCCGAACACTTCCCAAGAGAGGGGAGCGCTCCAGAATTGGCCCTGTTGGGCCTCAAGCAAGCTCCCAAGAAGCCCCCAAGAAGCCCCCCATGGGCAGGACACTCTCCAGAGGTTCCCGGAAAGCCTCCAGCGGCTCCCACAAAACGTCTTTGACATGCTCCAACTCCTTCAGAACCCCAGTTCACTAGAACAAGTGATACCCTACGGGCTCCTCGAATGCCTCCAGCAGCCCCGACCGAACTGCTCCGATAGGCTCCCAGAACGCATCAGGACGAGGAGGATGAGGAGGAGGAGGAGGAGGAGGAGGAGGAGGAGGAGGAGGAGGAGCAGCAGCAGCAGCAGCAGCAGCAGCAGGAGCCGGAGGACAATGATTGGCCAAGCACGAGGAGGAGGAGGAAAAGGATGATAATTATGATGCTGATGCTGCTGCTGCTGATGATGATGATGATGATGATGGTGATGGTGATGGTGATGGTGATGGTGATGATGACGATGCCGATGATGATGATGATGATGACGATGACGATGATGCTGCTGCTGATGATGATGGTGGTGATGCTGCTGCTGCTGCTGCTGCTGCTGCTGCTGATGATGATGATGATGATGATGATGATGATGATGATGATGATGATGATGATGATGATGATGCGTACGACGACGATGGTGATGACGATGATGATGCTGCTGCTGATGATAATGATGATGCTGCTGTTGCTGCTGCTGCTGATGATGATGATGATGATGATGATGATGATGAGAGCAACGATGATGCTGCTGCTGATGATGTTGATGATGCTTTTGAGATGATGCTGATGATGAAAATGATGTTGCTGCTGATGATGATGCTGTTGATGCTGATGCTGCTGCTGATGATGATTATGATGATTATGATGAGGAGGAACAGGAGGAGGAGGAGGAGGAGGAGGAGGAGGAGGAGGAGGAGGAAGAGGACGAGCTGCTGCTGTTGCTGCTGCCCATGCCCCTGGATCTGCTGCCGCTGATACTGCTGGCGCTGCTCTGTACGCCGTCAGAATCATCAAGCAAGCAGCGCACCCTCAAGGAATGAGCAGCAGCATAGGCACTCTGACCACTGGCATTCGTGGACGGTAGTCCACGCGTCAGCCCCAGTCAGCTGCAATGCTGGGATCAGCGCGTGCGAGAAAGGGGTGCAGTGGCAGTGGGCTTTAACGCTGCTGAGCGAGATGTGGAAGGCGAAGCTGGAGCGCGACGTCATCAGTTGCAGCGCTGGGATCAGTGCGTGCGAGAAGTGTGTCCAGTGGCAGCGGGCTTTGGCACTGCTGGGCGAGTTGCGGGAGGTAAAGCTGGAGCCCAGCGTCATCTGACCTATAATACCGGGTATTCCGCGTGCCAGTAGGGCATTCCGCGTGCCAGTAAGGCCGTTCTTCCCACCCTCGCGGAGCCCTGGGGGGGCCTCCAGGGAGCCTCCAGAAGGTCTCAGAGAGCCCCAGAGCTCGCCAAAACTGCTTCAGAGGGGCCCCAAGGATCGTTCCAAGACGTCCAAGATGGCCCCAAGACGGTCCAAGATGCCTCCATGACGCCCCAAGAGGCCTAAGAGGCCTCCCAAGAGGGCCCCAAGAGACCAAATCATTGATTTTCTTTAGGTTTTGAAGGTTTGGGGCGTTCTCGTTTCTTCGGCTTCCCGACGCTTCAAGACGGCCCAAGAGGCCCTCAAGATCGCCCCAAGACGGCCCAAGAGGGCCCAAGAGGGCCCCAAGATTGCCTAAGAGGCGCCCAAGATGGCTTAAGAGGCGCCCAAGACGGTCCTAAGAGGGGCCCAAGAGGGGGACCGCGATCTGGAAATTCGATCTTTCCGCCCCGAGAGGGCCCCAGGAGGCCCCAAGAGGCCCCCAAGATGGCCATGAAAGGCCCCAAGAGGCTTCAAAATGGCTCCCAAGAGGCTTCGAAACTGTTTCCAAGAGGCCCCCGAGGGGCCCACCACGAGATCCCAACGAGTATTGAAGAGGACCCACAACCCAGGCACGGAAGCGGGATGGGCCGAAGGCTAGTAGATGCAGCCCTGGCGGAACAGTAGCCTCCAGGGAGCCCCCACTGGGTCCCAGAGAGCCCCAGGAAACACAAAAACGGTTTCAGAGGGACCCAACACACTTCCACAGGCTTCCCAGGGCACCTCCAAGAGAGCAGCCGCGAGGACAAGACACTACTGAATAGTACCAAGGTGTCTGGGATGCTCTTCTTGTGCTCCTTTCTCCCCCCCCATCTGGCCCAAGACGGCACCGGAGGCCTCCGAAATCGGCCCGACGCAGCGCCTCCCCTCCACCTGGCCGTCCCCACGGACGGCGAGCCCCCGGCACGCCCCCCCGAGAGGCTCCCAGAGAGCCTGAGACACGCTCCCCAGAGCCTCCCAGAGGTGCCTAACGGGTTTCCGCAGGAGCCTCCAGGAAGCACCGTCGCCGGGCCCGCGGGGGCGCACCTCGGCGCCTCCCCCGAGCCCCGAAGACGCTCTCGACAGACCCCCAGACGGACCAGCAGATGCGCCCAAGAAGCACCCCAAATGCCAAAGAGGCTTCGGCAAGAGTCTCCAAGAACCTTTTCTTCCCAGGGTGCTCTGAATTTTGCTACCTCCTGGAAGCGCCGCCAGATGGGAAAACACATACACACACCACACCTTGGGACACCTCTCGCCTGGGAGGAGGTGCCCCAACAGTGCTTCCGAACCGAGCCGCCAACACCCCAGAACGCTTTTTCAGGGAACCCTTTCGCACGGCGCATGTCCCAGGAGGTGTGGGGTATGATTTTCCCATACAGATTACATTCCCCTTCTCGACCTCCTCCTCGTTGCCCACGACTCCCTCTGCACAGTGGCTGCCGTCGTTTGCCAGTCACGTAGCTCCGCCTCCCTCTCGGGCCACTGACGATGCTGCCATATCCGCTGCTGCTGCTGCTGCTGCTGCTGCTGCAGACGCGGCTCTGGGCGCCGACAGAGTCCTCAAGCACCCAGCTCGCCCTGAAGCGCTACGCAGCAGAAAGCGCACTCTCAATATTCTGGCACTCGTGGACGGCAGTCCACAGGTCAGCCCTAGTCTCTCCTACATGGCCAGTGGATCTGCGTGCGAGAAAGGTTCACAGGGCCTCGTGTGCACAAAATCGCTTCGTGTGCCACCACGGGGCCGAATCGCTCAGGCCAGTCCCAGAGGCGCTCCAGAGGGGTTGCCAGACCGTCCAATAGCGCTCCAAGACGGCCTCAGTGGGTCCCGAGACGGCCCACGAGGGCCCGAAGCCTTCGGGGGGGGGGGCTCCACGACGATCCAAGAGGCCGCAAAGACGCTCCAAGAGGGCCCTGAGCGCACGCCAAAGAGGCACACATCGTCAAAGTCCCAAAGGGAAACGTATATTTTCAGCATGCCCGCCTTGTGTGCTCCTCAGCGGGCTAGGACACGGCAAGATGCCTCCCAAATCGCCCCAAGAAGACGCCAGCGGCCCCTAAGAGGGCTCCAAGACGGCCCACAAGAGCCCCGAGACGACGTCAGAGAGCCCTGAAACGGCCTCACAGAACCCCAAGACGGCCCCAAGAGAGCTCTGAGGGGGCCCCAAGAGGCTCCCAAGACGGCCTCAGGCAGCCTCAAGAGAGCTCCAGGACGGTCCAAGGCCTCCCGGACGCCGCGTGACGGCCCAAAGAGGCACCCAAAACGTCCCAAAACGCTCCCAGAGCAACCCAAAAAAACTTCTGAATGGCTTTCAAAAACCCACAAGGACCACCAAGCAGGCCCAGAGACGCCCATTAAAAGAGCGATTGGTGAAGTACAAAGCTCTTCTCACCAAGGCTCCCAAGAGCGAGCCGCAGCGTAGAGAGCTCTCCCAGGCACAGCTCCCTAGAGCGAGCGGTGACGTGACCAGCCCGTCACACAGGGGCTCTCAAAAGCGAAGGGCGCCATGAGCCATCTCGGGCCGATTCCTGAATCTCCCGGGGAAGCGCGTGCGGGAAGGGACATGGATCAAGTATCTAAAATCGGCCTCGGCGGGCCCCTGGCGCGGCCTCAGCGGGCCCATGCGCCCCTGGCGTGCCTCCGGGCGGCTCGAGCACGCTTCAGGACGCCTCAGTGAGCGCTGAGGTCGGGCCAAGAGCCTCAACATGTCTCCAAGACGGCCCCAGAGGCCGTCCAGACAGCTCGCGGCGGCCAAACATCATCAATTGTTCTATGGTTTTTGATTGATTTTAAGGTTCTCACGATTTCGAGCCAAGAGTGGGCCAAGATGGCTCTTGGGGCCCCCCCGAACGCTCCAAGGCCGCCCAAGAGCTCTGGCAAGTGCCCCAAGACGGCTCAGGAGGTCTCCTAGACGGCTCCTGGAGGAGCCGAAGGCGACCCAAGCGAGTCCTGAGACGGCGCGAGAGAGCCTCCATGAGTCCGAGCTCCTGAACGGGCCCCAAGAAACGCCCAAGAGGGCTCACGGAGAGCTCCGAGACAGCCCAAGAATCCCAACATGGCGCCAAGACGGCCGAAGAGACCGTCTAGATGGCTCGCGGCGACCAAAAATCATGGATTATTCTATGGTTTTCGCTTGATTTGCAGGTTCTCGCGATTTCGAGTTAAGAGCGGCCCAAGACGGCTCCTGGGCCCCCCACGAATGCTCCAAGGCTCAAGAGGCTCCGGCAAGCGCCCCAAGACTGCTGAGGAGTGCTCCAAAGACGGGCTCCCTGAGGATCCCACAAAGGCCCAACAGAGACCCAAGACGGCGCGAGAGAGCCCCCAGGAGTCCCTAAACAGGCCCCAAGAGCCGCCAGAGAGGGCTCACAGGGAGCTCCGAAACGGCCCAACACCCCCAACATGGCCCCTACACGGCCCCAGAGGCCATTCAGACGGGCTGCGGCGATCGAAATCATTGATTTCCCCATGGTTCTCGAAAGATTTCCACCTTCTCGCTATTTCGAACCAAGACCGGCGCAAGGCGGCCATTTCGAGAAAATATTGGCCTAAGATGACGTGGACGAAGTCCACGGGTTCGCCCTAGTCTCTTCTCTATGGCAGACATCAGCGCGTGCCAGAACGTCAAAACAGCGCATGTGGACCGATGAGCCCCCTGGAGGACAATTTTTTGACACCCCTCACAAAGATCCTGGCCCCCGAGCGTCACAAATCGCGCCCTCCGCCCAAAGACGCGCCGAAGTGGCCATAAGAGGTTCCAAGGAGCGTCCAAGAGGCCCCCACTAAGGCCCTAGAGGCCCCCAACAAGGCCCTAGAGGCTTCCAAGAGCCTCCAACAGTCCTCCGAAGCATGTCCCCAGAGGCCACGGTTTTTGAAGGAATTTTGCCTGCTCGCCTTCTCGGCTAGCCGACGCTCCAAGACGACCGAAGAGACCCACAAGACCGCCCAGGACGGCACAGCAGGCCTCCAAGCGCGTCCCCAGACGGCCCAGGGCAGCCCCCAGACGGCCCATGAGGCGCCAAAGACGGCCCCGGAGAACCCCAAGCCAGGCCCAAGAGGGGGTCAAAGCACGGGGAAAAACCCTGACACTCCGAGTCCTGGGCCCGTACGCCCACACAAGGCCCCAAGGCCCATCCAAGAGGCCGCCAAGAGCCTCCAACAGTACCCCGAAGCATGCCCCCAGAAGCCAAAATCTTTCATTTCTCAAGGGTTTTTGATGGAAGTTTGCCTTCTCGCCTTCATGGCTAGCCGACGCTCCACGACGGCCGAAGAGAACCACAAGACCGCCCCAGGACGGCCCACGAAGCCTCCAAGCGCGTCCCCAGACGGCCCAGGAAGCCCCAACCCAAGAGGCGCCCAAGACGGCCCCGGAGGGCCCCAAGCCAGGCCCAAGAGGGGGCCAAAGAACGGGGAAAAACCCTGACACTCCGAGCCCTGGGCCCCCATACGCCCACACAAGGCCCCAAGGCCCCCCCAAGAGGCCGCCAAGAGCCTCCAACTGTACTCCGAAGCATGCCCCCAGAGGCCAAAATCATAAATGTTCAATCGTTTTGGAATGAGTTTTGCCTTCTCGCCTTCTCGGCTAGCCGACGCTCCAAGACGGCCGAAGACACCCACAAGACCGCCCCAGGACGGCCCACCAGTCCTCCAGGCGCGTCCCCAGACGGCCCAGGGTGTCCAAGATGGCCCAAGAGGCGCCCAAGCCGGCCCCAGAGGACCCCAAGCCAGGCCCAAGAGGGGGCCAAAGAACGGGGAAAAACCCTGACACTCCGAGCCCCGGGCCCCCATACACCCACACAAGGCCCCAAGGCCCCCCCAAGGGAACGCCAAGAGGTCCCCAGAGGCCGCCAAGGAAGCCCAAAGCAAGCCCCACGAGGCCGCAAGACGGCCCTCAAGTGGCCCCATGAGGCTCCACGGAGCGTCCAAGAGGCCCCCTAGAGGCTCCCAACAAGGCCCAAGAGGCCTCCAAGAGCCTCCCAGAGTCCTCCGAAGCATGTCCCCAGAGGCCACAGTCCTTAATTTTTCAATTGTTTTTGAAGGATTTGTGCCTTCTCGCCTTCTCGGCTAGCCGACGCTCCAAGGAGCGTCAAAGAGGCCTAGAGGCCCCCACCAAGGCCCTAGAGGCCCCCTGGAGGCCCCCAACAAGGCCCTAGAGGCTTCCAAGAGCCTCCCACAGTCCTCCGAAGCATGTCCCCAGAGGCAAAATCCTTTATTTGTCCATGGTTTTTGAAGGAGTTTTGCCTTCTCGCCTTCTCGGTTAGCCGACGATCCAAGACGGCCGCAGAGACCCACAAGACCGCCCCAGGACGGCCATTTTTCGACACCCCTGCCACAGATCCTGGCCCCCGAGCGTCACAAATCGAGCCCTCCGCCCAAAGACGCGCCGAAGTGGCCATAAGAGGCTCCAAGGAACGCCCAAGAGGCCCCCTAGAGGCCCCCAACAATGCCCAAGAGGCCTCCAAGAGCCTCCCACAGTCCTCCGAAGCAAGCCCCCAGAGGCCAAAATCTTTAATTTTTCAATGGTTTTTGAAGGAGTTATGCCTTCTCGCCTTCTCGGCTAGCCGACGCTCCAAGACGGCCGACGAGACCCACAAGACCGTCCCAGCACGGTCCAGCTGGCCTCCAAGAGCGTCCCCAGACGGCCCAGGGAGCCCCAGCGCACGTGGATAAATGCGCCCCCATGGAGGGGCAATTTTTCGACACCCCTCACGCAGATCCTGGCCCCCGAGCATCACAAATCGCGCCCTCCGCCCAAAGACGCGCCGAAGTGGCCCCATAAGAGGCTCCATGGAGCCCCCTAGAGGCCCCCTAGAGGCCCCCGAAGCATGCCCCCAGGGGCCAACATCCTTCATTTGTCAATGGTTTTTGAATGAGTTTTGCCTTCTCGCCTTCTCGGCTAGCCGACGCTCCAAGACGGCCGAAGAGACCCACAAGTCCGCCCCAGGACGGCCCAACAGGCCTCCAAGCGCGTCCCCAGACGGCCCAGGGAGCCCCAGCGCATGTGGATAAATGCGCCCAATGGAGGACCATTTTTCGACACCGAGCCTTCCGCCCAAAGACGCGCCGAAGTGGCCATAAGAGGCTCCAAGGAGCGCCCAAGAGACCCCCTAGAGGCCCCCAACAATGCCCAAGAGGCCTCCAAGAGCCTCCATCAGTCAGAGGCCAAAATCATTCATTTGTTCCATGGTTTTTGAAGGAGTTTTGCCTTCTCGCCTTCTCGGCTAGCCGACGCTCCAAGACGGCCGACGAGACCCACAAGACCGCCCCAGGACGGCCCAACAGGCCTCCAAGCGCGTCCCCAGACGGCCCAGGGAGCCCCAAGATGGCCCAAGAGGCGCCCAAGACGGCCCCAGAGGACCCCAAGCCAGGCCCAAGAGGGGGGCCAAATAACGAGGAAAAACCTCGACATTCCGAGCCCTGGGCCCCCATGCGCCCACACAAAGCCCCAAGACTCCCCCAAGGGAACGCCAAGAGGTCCCCAGAGGCCCCCAAGAAGCCCAAAGCAAGCCCCCAAGACGGCCCCCAAGAGGCCCCAAAGCTGCCTCCAAGAGGGACCCCAGAGGCCTCTGAGCCATTACCCAGGCACAGGCACGGTGGCGGATGACGGGAAGCGCCTCCGGCGTGCACCGTTGGTGTTGGGGCTTCATTTTCTCTAACTAAGGGCCACCGATCCCATCCCGGACCTCGCTGGCGGATGACGGGAAGCGCCTCCGGCGTGCACCGTTGGTTCAGGGGCTTCATTTTGACGGGAAGCGCCTCCGGCGTGCACCGTTGGTTCTGGGGCTCAATTTTCTCTAACTAAGGGGTGCGCGCCGCACCGGGGAACTCGCTGGCGGATGACGGGAAGCGTCTTCGAGGTACGAGAAGCAAGCGGGACGTTCTGGCTGAATCCTTGAGTAAATATATATATATATATCTTTATATCTATGGGTTGCCGCGCTGCACGGGATTTTTCGTTGGCGGATGACGGGAAGCGTCTTCGAGGTACGAGAAGCAAGCGGGACGTTCTGGCTGAATCCTTGAGTAAATATATATATATATATATATATATATCTTTATGACGGGAAGCGTCTTCGAGGTACGAGAAGCAAGCGGGACGTTCTGGCTGAATCCTTGAGTAAATATATATATATATATATATATATATATATCTTTATATCTATGGGTTGCCGCGCCGCACGGGATCATTCATTGGCGGATTCCCCAACATGGCCATTTCGCTCGAGACATCCTCGAAAAATCGAGGTGTTGGAGGCTATCGTTTAAGACGTCTTATGTTAAAAATGACGGTTTCGCTCGAGACATCCTCAAAAAATCGGGATGTTGAAAAATATCAAAAATTTTTGTTATGCATGAAAAATGAGCGTTTCGCTCGAGACATCCTCGAAAAAATGAGATGCCGACAGAGGTGTTTTAGAACCTCTTATGTTAAAAATGACGTTTTCGCTCGGGACGTCCTCAGAAAATGAGCAGGTGGTCTGCCGTGCTCCTGTGTGGAGCACGGCAGACCACGGCCATTTCGCTCGAGACATCCTCAAAAAATCGAGGTGTGGTGTGGTGGGGCCTCTAAAGGCTGGAAAAAAGGACCAAAGAGGTCCGAGCCCGAGGCTCTCACGGGAGCCTCCAGGGCCAGCGGGAGGGGCCGTTTAGGCCGCCCTCCCCGAGGGGCCGCTTCGAGCCAACCTCCAGCACGCCCACACGAGGGGCCGCTTCGGGCCTCCCCGAGGGCAGGCCGCCAGGGCCAACGGGGGCGCCTAGGCCCCAGGGCCACGAGGGCGGGCGGTGCCGAGAGGCATGCAGAAGCAGCGAAGCTGCACTGAAGATCGAGCTGAAGAAAAAAGGACTGCAACGATCAACGAGTGCCACACGAAGCCCACGTGCACATACAAAAATGCGAATGCAAGCGGGAGAGGAAGCCAAGCAGAGGAGATGAGGAAGGACTCACTCACAGACCTCGTAGCTTCAGAGACAACAGCTTACTGCCCTCCGCACAATTTGATAAGACGCTTCAACTCTCTGGCACGCTCAACGGACATCCCTGGCGGGAGGGCGTCAACCAGACGAGACTCATCCGCGAATCGCGCACGAAGTTGGTGCGGCCTCCGCATGGGGGGAACCTTGAGGCCAAAGGAGCCGCCTTCGATCATGTGCATCAGGTCAACAGCATTGGCTTGGCGCGTCCAAGCGGGATCCAGAAACCCTGGCACGTTCTCCCGCCGAAGGATACCACGCACGCCCGAGCAACAGCCAATGTCGAGCACGCACGGGGCATCTGCGAAGCGGACCCTCCGCAGCCGCGGCGGCGCCACAGCGCCTGCGGCACGCCCCGACATCGGGCCCTCGGTCCGCAAGAGATCGTCAGGCAGCGGCGGTGGCGGGGCCGCAGATCCAGCAGCCCCGCACTCCTGCACCGTCGCCGCACCTGTGGTGAGCCACACGCGGGCAACAACGGCCCTCGCACGCCACCAGACCCCTGCCGCGACCTCGCAGCGGCCCCAGCCGCCATCGCCCCCGCTGAAGAGGGCCTGCGGGAAGGCGGCGAGGTACGCGGCGGCTGCAGCAGCAGTACCGGCATGGTCGGCACCTGGCGGCTCGCCGACCGAGCACGAGGTGTCCGCGTCGGCCTCACCGTCCAGGGTAACGTCGTCGACGTCGGAGCCGTCGCAAGACGCGCCTGGCACACCAGCAGTGGCACCACCGTCGGCAGCAGTGGCGGGAGGCAGCGGCGCACGGCCTGCAGTACCTCCAGGGCTCACATCATCCGCCTGCACAATACCCACAATACCAGCGGCGGCACGGCAGGAGGAGAACAAAACAGCGCCACAAGAGCACAAAACGCCTTCGTCGCTCCGTCGCTGGCAGACGCTGCCCGACACCAGGACAGGCTCAGCAGCTGACCTCCGCGGCGTGCGTCCTGTGCCGACCTCCTCGGTGCCGCTCATCACCTCTCCGCCGTCGTCCCAGCGCCCCGGGGGCCGAAGCGGCCAGAAGGGGTCGGCATCGCACCGCAGCGTGTCCACGTACTCGCTAGGCTCCACGTGGCCCTCGCTCTCCGCGTGCACGGCGGCGCAGGCAGCGGTGTCCGCCATGAGGGCGGCCTCGACGTCAGCGACGTGCGAGACCGCCGAGCCAGTCGGGAACTCCTTCGACTCAGGCAGAAGCGACCGCGGGCGCGGGAGCCGCGGGCCGCGCTGGGCGATCCGCCAGGCGCGCCGCGGAGCACCAGGCCGCGGGAGGTCCTGCGCGTGGCAGCCGACGTTCCGCTCTAGGATCCTGCCCTCCTGTAGCTGCTCGCCCTTCTCCTGCGCGATAAGCACGGGCGCAACGAGCGCCAGGCGGCGCAGGATGCTCGGAGGCGCCTCGGCCAGGCCATGCAGCTCCAGGAGTTGCGCTGCCTGCCTCTGCGCCAATCTCTCACGGGAGAGGGCGGCCCAACGCTGAGCCTGGCGGCGCTCGCGCGGCGCACGCCGAAGCCCTCCAGACAGCCGATCATCTGGCCGTCTCCCCGTCGCCATCGAACTCGAGCCCGCGCGCGCGCACGCCCGACCTGGCTGAGCCAAAATGGCTACGGAAAAAAAAAAATCGAGGTGTGGTCTGCCGTGCTCCTGTGTGGTCTGCCGTGCTCCTGTGGTCTGCCGTGCTCCCCACAGGAGCACGGCAGACCGCGCGTAGGAACCGAGAGGAGCACGGCAGACCAAGACGAGGAGCACGGCAGACCAGGCTTAGGAACCGAGAGGAGCACGGCAGACCAAGACGAGGAGCACGGCAGACCAGGCACCAAGAGCGCCCTCAAGACGACGGAAAGGATGACCAAGACGAGGAGCACGGCAGACCAAGACGAGGAGCACGGCAGACTATGCCCTAAGAGTGCCCTCAAGACGGCCGAACAACGGCAGACCCCATAGGAGCACGGCAGACCACAGAAGAGCACGGCAGACCAACAGGAGCACGGCAGACCACACAAGAGCACGGCAGGCCACACAGGAGCACGGCAGACCACACAGGAGCACGGCAGACCACAAAGGAGCACGGCAGACCACACAAGAGCACGGCAGACCCCACAAGAGCACGGCAGACCCCACAGGAGCACGGCAGACCCCACAGGAGCACGGCAGAGCAGACCCAAAAGGAGCACGGCAGACCACACAGGAGCAAGGCAAACCCGAGGAGAACGGCACAAGATCGCAAGGCCGCACGGCTCTGGGCCGTTCGCTCAGCGGATAGAGCGGTCTCCAAGCTTTCGGAAGAGCTTGGTCGTATCAGGGAGCAGCACATGCAGTTGCTCGACTTCGTGGGCGCCCTGGCCGGAGGCGATGCGGAGCTGGCCGACCGCCTTTTGGCACTGGCGCCAGCACTCCAGGATTTGCTGCGTGGACGCCTCCCAAGCCACGTCAGCGTCCTCAGGCGGAACGTGGCGCTGCACTCCGACGCTTCTGGTGTGAGCATCGCCAGCGCAGGAGTGCATGCTCTCAAGAGCCTCCAGAAGGGGCCGCGACTGGAGTGCAGACAAGAGGGCTTCGTTTGGAATCCTGAGGCCCCAGTTTTCGTTCCACAGGGCTCGGACCTTTTCGAGCAGTTCATGCCGACCTTTGTGGGCGAACAGGCGGAGATCCTGCTTCGCGAGCTCGGTCATCTGACTGCCCAGGCATCTCGTGCTGAAGCTGTCCAACCTGAAGCAGAGTCTGCTGAAGGCCCACCTGGGTGTGTAGAACAGCATGCACACCTAGCAGCTGACGTTTCTGTGGGCTACCCTGCCGAGCAAGCCGTTTATGAGCCTGGTGCGGACGAGCATCGCCATCGTCTTCTGCAGTATCGGTCCTTTCCTGCCCATGCAGACGAATTTCCGGAGGGATCTGCTGGGGATCCGACTTCTCTGCATGGTGTACCTGGGTCTATTCGGCCTGAGCGTGCCGATGATTGTGTGAATGCCTCTGACGTGGATACGACCTGCTCGGTGTCGGAGGCGGCGCCACAGGCCAGCACTGCGGTTATGGCGTACCTGCGCGCTCACCCTGCGGCGCTCCTCTCGGGAGGCGGCGGGGCCCTCGCGGCTCCTGTGGCTGGCGGTACTGGTCCAGGCGCTGGTTTCGAGGGCAGCCGCGTCCGCAGGAAGCGAGGTGCAAGCACGGGGCGGCGCGCCCGTCGCGTCCGCTTCGACCTGCGTCCCGTCGTCATCGGCACGGCCTTCGAGGAGGAGTCGGAGGAGGCCCCCCCGCGCGGAGGCGGGGCTGGCGAGGCCCAGGTGCAGGACGGTTAGCCTTGCGTGCGGACGCTAATTCCGTTTGCTCCGTGCATTCGCATTTCTTGTATTTGAATGTGTACGTGAGCTTGCAACACTACGCTGTTGTCACGTAGCTTCGGGGTCTGTGAGTGCATGCCTCTCGGCACCGCCCGCCCTCGTGGCCCTGGGGCCTAGGCGCCCCCGTTGGCCCTGGCGGCCTGCCCTCGGGGAGGCCCGAAGCGGCCCCTCGTGAGGGTGTGCTGGAGGTTGGCCCGAAGCGGCCCCTCGGGGAGGGCGGCCCGAAGCGGCCCCCTCCTGCTGGCCCTGGAGGCTCCTGAGAGCCTCGGGCTCACCCTTTTTCCAGCCTTTAGAGGCCCCACCACGCCACAGGAGCACGGCAGACCACACAGGAGCACGGCAGACCCCACAGTAGCAAGGCAGACCCCAAAGGAGCACGGCAGACCACCGGAGCACGGCAGACCACACAGGAGTACGGCAGACCCCACATGAGCACGGCAAATCCCAAATGAGCACGGCAGACCACAAGAGCACGGCAGACCACACAGGAGCACGGCAGATGGTCTGCCGTGCTCCCCACAGGAGCACGGCAGACCGCGCGTAGGAACCGAGAGGAGCACGGCAGACCAAGACGAGGAGCACGGCAGACCAGGCTTAGGAACCGAGAGGAGCACGGCAGACCAAGACGAGGAGCACGGCAGACCAGGCACCAAGAGCGCCCTCAAGACGACGGAAAGGATGACCAAGACGAGGAGCACGGCAGACCAAGACGAGGAGCACGGCAGACTATGCCCTAAGAGTGCCCTCAAGACGGCCGAACAACGGCAGACCCCATAGGAGCACGGCAGACCACAGAAGAGCACGGCAGACCAACAGGAGCACGGCAGACCACACAAGAGCACGGCAGGCCACACAGGAGCACGGCAGACCACACAGGAGCACGGCAGACCACAAAGGAGCACGGCAGACCACACAAGAGCACGGCAGACCCCACAAGAGCACGGCAGACCCCACAGGAGCACGGCAGACCCCACAGGAGCACGGCAGAGCAGACCCAAAAGGAGCACGGCAGACCACACAGGAGCAAGGCAAACCACAGGAGCACGGCAGACCACACAGGAGCACGGCAGACCCCACAGTAGCAAGGCAGACCCCAAAGGAGCACGGCAGACCACCGGAGCACGGCAGACCACACAGGAGTACGGCAGACCCCACATGAGCACGGCAAATCCCAAATGAGCACGGCAGACCACAAGAGCACGGCAGACCACACAGGAGCACGGCAGACTCCACAGGAGCACGGCAGACCACAAAGGAGCACGGCAGACCACACAGGAGCCCGGCAGACGCCACAGGAGCACGGCAGACGCCACAGGAGCACGGCGGAACCCACAGGAGCACGGCAGACCGCGCGCGGGTACAACATAAACGCGCCTTTTTGTTGTACCCCGAACGCCGCTGGCGTTTCCCCAACAGGAGCACGGCAGATCCCACAGGCGCGCGGCAGACCCCAAATGAGCACGGCCGACCACAGGAGCACGGCAGACCCCAAATGAGTACGGCAGACCCCAAAAGAGCACCGTAGACGCCTCAGGAGCACGGCTGACCTCACAGGAGCACGGCAGCCTGGGCCGGTTCCGGCGCCGGCCGGCGCCGGAAAATTGAATTCCGAGGCGGTGCCGAAAAAAGGCCACTCCAAGACATATTTTTCTTTCGAAAATATTTATTTTCTGCTCCCGGCGCCCGGGAACCCCTTCCGGGCCGCTTCTGGCACCCGGGCCGGCGCTCGAGCCAAACGCCCGGGCCAGCACCCGGGCCAGCGCCCGGGCCGGTTCCGGCGCCGGCCGGCGCCGGAAAATTGAATTCCGAGGCGGTGCCGAAAAAAGGCCACTCCAAGACATATTTTTCTTTCGAAAATATTGATTTTCTGCTCCCGGCGCCCGGGAACCCCTTCCGGGCCGCTTCCGGCACCCGGGCCGGCGCTCGAGCCGAACGCCTGGGCCAGCACCCGGGCCAGCGCCCGGGCCGGTTCCGGCGCCGGCCGGCGCCGGAAAATTGAATTCCGAGGCGGTGCGGAAAAAAGGCCACTCCAAGACATATTTTTCTTTCGAAAATATTGATTTTCTGCTCCCGGCGCCCTGGAATGGAACCCCTTCCGGGCCGATTCCGGCACCCAGGCCGGCGCTCGAACCGAACGCCCGGGCCGGCACCTGGGCTGGCGGCCGAGCCGGATCCAGCGCTGGCGTCGGCTCTGGCCGTCGCCGGAAATATTGAATTCCGAGGCCGCGCTAACAAAACTCATCCAAACAGATTTTTCGAAAGTGCATCATTTCTGCTCCCGGCGCTCGGAGGCTTCTGCGTCTCAAGGAGAGGTGGAGCAGACATTAAAGGAGGTAAAGCAAGCACACGAACGCTATGGACGCGCGATGCGCTGCCACAAGCCAGCTTCCCGCAAGATCGGTCCAGAGTGGGAGGGGACGGAGCTGGGCGGGTGATGGACCACCAGAGCACTGCTCCAGCCTTCCCTCAGCCCTGGGTCTGCTGACCACACAGGAGCACGGCAGACCACACAGGAGCGCGGCAAACACAAAGGAGCAAGGCAGACCCCAAATGAGCACGGCAGTCCACACGTTCGCACGGCAGACCGCACAGGAGCACGGCAGACCGCACATGAGCACGGCAGACCAAGAATGAGCACGGCAGACCACACAGGAGCACGGCACGGCAGACCACACAGGAGCACGGCAGACCACACAGGAGCACGGCAGACCACACAGGAAAACGGCGCTTCCCGTTCTTGTCCGGTCAGGTATCTATGGGTTGCCGCGCCGCACGGGAGCATTCGTTGGCGGATTCCCCAAAATGGCCATTTCGGTCGAGACATCCTCGAAAAATCGAGGTGTTGGAGGCTATCGTTTAAGACGTCTTATGTTAAAAATGACGGTTTCGCTCGAGACATCCTCAAAAAATCGGGATGTT